TTTCAAATTTTCATTATAATTTCCTTTCTGACTCATGGATTGTTCAAAAGTGTATCTCTTAATGTCCAAACATTTGAGAATTTCCTGTTATCCTTTTGTTACTAATTCCAGTTTAATTCCATTACGATTAGAAAATAGCTCCATGGATTTTTAAAAAATAAACTTTTAACTTTAGGATCATGTTAGATGTACAGTATATGATTTAAATCCTTTGAAATATGTTTCCACTTGCTTTATGGCCCAGTATGTGGTCAACTGTATAATGTTCCATTCTCACTTAAAAAAGCAAAACAAAACATGTATTCTCAAGTTGTTAGGTGCAGTGATCCATATATATCATAGTTTGTTAACTATGCTGTTCAAATGTTTTACATCTGTACTGACTTTTTGGTTTGTTTGCTTGTTCTAATAGTTACTGAGAGAATTATGTAGAAAATTTCTTACTGCGACTGAGAATTTATTTCTCCTCCAAGCTTTGTTATTTTTTGAGACTATATTATTAAGTGCTTACCCATTTGGAAGCATTATAATTTTCTGGCTGATTCCTCTTTTTATAATTTTGAGAAGCCTCTCTTTATTTCCAACAACGCCTTTCCTCTTTAGTCTACTTTGATGTACAGATTATTAGCTATCATCACTGTTGTTAGTGTTTGCATATTTTCTTTTTCCATCCATCTCATATGTAATACAAAGTAGTATAAAACAGGGTGAAAGGCAAGATAGTGACTTCCAAAGATGTCCATGTCCTAACTTCCCAGGAACCTGTGCTATGTTGCCTTACAGAGGCAAAAGAAACTTTGCACATATGTCTAAGGGTAAGGACCTGAAATGTGGAGGTTATCTCCTATTATTGGAGTGGGCCCGGTCTAACCATGAGTCCATAAAAGCAGGGACTCTTTCCTGACTTGGTCAGAGGGAGATGGGTCTGAGAGGCAGTGTTGCTGACTTTGCAGTTGGAGGAGGGGCCATGAGCTAAGGAATGTGAGCGGCCCCAGAGCCTGGAAAAGGCAAAGGAAATGGATTCTGTACTAGACCCTCTGGAAGGGAATATAGCACTTCTGAAACCTTGACCTTGGCCCTGTGAGACCCATATCGCACTTTTGACCAACAAAACTGTCAGGCAATACGTCTGTGTTCTTTTAAGCCGCAAAGTTTGTGATAATTTATTACTGTTGCAATAGAAAACCATACGCAAGGGAGCTGTGTATTTGCAATCACACAAATTAATTAGGAAGATATTACATATCAAGTGGTTGAATAAACAACATCATTATGAAGAATGATGAAGAATCATAATGAAGAATATCATTAAGGTCAGACAGAAAATATTACAAAAGATCACAGGAGGAAGAAGTCGATACAGGCTGAGGCACACAGGAAGATAGATGAAGAAAGCGGGACTTTAGGCAGGACCTGAAGGATGCACGTTTTTGGTATCCAGCACTCCACCCCTCTTCCAGCATAACACAATGTACGGTACGGCCTGGGTCTGATTTAGCCCTATAACCCCAAGGCCTCACCCAGTGCCCAGGCACATCAATGACGAGCACTGCTGAAACAGCAGATGACTGCAAACTGGCCCAACAGAAGGTGGAGAAGGTACTCTGAGCCCGAAGAATGAGAGAAGCAGTCTCAGTGACGGAGAGCCTCTAATGGACAGGGAGGCAAGTGCTGCTGGAGGCTTAGGCCAGGTGGCTGGTACGCGTGTGAAACAGCCTCGGGGAGCGTGACAAGCCAGCCTGAGGAACTGTCCCTTTTCTTCTCATCAACAGGGAGGCACAAGAGGAATTTAAGTATTTTTTAATATTAAACTTCTTTTTCTAAGACCTTCATTAAGATATAATTCACACATGACACAATTTACCCCTTTAGAGGGTAAACTTCAATGGTGCTTAGCATATTCCGAGAGTCATGCAAGCTGCTGGACGGAGGAGAAAAGGACACTGGATTTGCTAACCTCTGGGCAGAAATGAGGGGTTCAAAGAGAAGCACAGCATAAAAAAATCTTTCTCCTTTCCTTTGGAGCTGATAGCCACCTCTGAGATAGAGCTTTCTGGCCAGACAGACATACTCAGTTTAAGATGGACCAGTCATGTGTACTGATGTTGGATATAAAAAAGGAGATGAGCAAAACATTTTCGGGCAAATGAAGGAAATCACTATCTTACATAATATGTAGTAAACTTCTAGAGCTCCTTATCTGAGCAACCTCTGGAAACCTGAAGGAGTTCGAGCTTCTAGAATGAGGTGGGTCCATGGTTTTCAGTGGAGAATGTGTTCTCCAGAGCCAGAAGGGGTTCCAGAAGCACCTTAGGAGTTGTCTTTAGATGGGATAGTGATTTATGGGGCAGGGTCCAGTTCCCTGTCTTCATTTCACTCAGTGTTGGTTAACTCTTAAGGAAGAATTTGTAGTGTTTGCTAAATATATTATACTTCTCTACATTTTTGTTTGAAGAAAGGGTCTGCAGCTAAACAACAATTGGAAAGATACTAATTAGTGGTGGGTGATGGACTCATCAAATGGGAAAGGGACTGAGAGGTGCCAGGGGATACTTCTGATCTTCTGGTGTTCATGAAAGGCAAATGAATGCATCCTCATCACTCTTTGGGAACTACTGTCCAATACAGCCTAGGACTCTACTTTATAAAATACATTATATTTCTATGTAATTTATATGTTTCTTGTACGTAAGTTGGAAACACAAAAACGTATGAACAGGAAAATTTAAACTATCTCTAAATGTATTAGCTGCTGTTAACATTTTGGTGTATACCCCTTGAGGCTTTTAACTGTACAAGGCTTAAATAAAATAAACATCTTAGCTGACTTGCAAATAAGAGGAAAGTTCGTAGAAAACAAAGTTTTCATGGCTAGAGAAAATAAGGCAGGGAAGGGAGGAGTCCCAGGCATCAGTGCACGGGTGAAGGGGATGGTCTGGGTCTCTTCTTCTCTGGGATGTTGTTCAAGTATGCGTTGGGTGTGGCTGGAGAATGTGGCTTGGGAAGAGTTAATGTTGTGAGTCTGCAGGAAAGTACAGCAAGGGATGATAATCAGGACGAGGAGAGGGCCTGCGATTGCAGGGAGGCCCCTGCCCACCCATCTCCTAGAAGGCCACAGCACATGGCAGGACACAGCAGGCCCTTCTGGAGCAGGATTGCTTGGGTTCAAATCTCAGCTCCATTATTCAATGGCTGTGTGAGCTTAGGGGTTAGGTGATCTCCCTAGACCTACATTCCCTCATCTGCAAAATGAGGATAATATCATCTATTTCACAGGACTTGTGTGGCCTAAATGTGCGGATACACTGAAAATGCTCATTAGCACTACATCCGGCAGATAGTAAGTGCACAATAAATGGTTTTGATACGAGTTATGCAATCTCGGGCAACTTTCCTAACTCCCCATGCCTCAGTTTACTATATAAAGGTAATACAGTAATGGCAGGTGAGAGAAGGCATATCCAGTGCTTAGCACAGTATCTGGTATGTTGTATTACCATTGTCAACATTAAAGGTTATAATGCTAATACTTAAAAGCACTCACTACATGTTTACAAAATGCTGTGTTAAGTGTTCTATGTATATTAACTCATTTAATCCTTGCAAGAGCTCTGTGAAATAGGTAATAATGGCTAGTAATGATGGTCACTGAATGGTAGCTATTACCAATATAAGATAGGTTTTTTTCTTTTATATCCTCTTTTACTGAAGACCTTTTAAAGAGGAGAAAAGTAGGCAGAAGTCATTATTATACCAGAAAAAAAAAAAAAAAGACACCCTAAGCTAAAATCCTAACCAAACAAACCACGCCTCCAGTCTAGGTCTGGAGAGGACCTATATTTGCTCCCTTACACATATGTTCTGGAGTTTGAACAGGGTTAGGGTGAGAAAGCATTAATAGTGAAGCTTTAATTTGCTACTTTAGGCTTTAGTCCCTTTTCTGCCCTGCTGCATGGGCTGTCCTTCATTTCTACTGAGCCCTTTCTGTTTTTGATCACGTTTATAATTTACAAAGACCAGGCTAAAAGTTTATTCTACCTCTAGTGACCCATTTTATTCTCTTGCTGCTGGGAGGCCATCTTTGGACTTTTACAGCATATGCACTTGTACTTTGCACAAAACGTACTCACTTGGGCTAAGTGGGGAAAACCCCAGCTTTCCCAGATATTTGGTGATCAAGGTATTTTTAAATATGGAATCCGGCCAGGTTGTCTTTTTTAACAAACAGGCAAATGTGTTAGTTTATTACATGAGCCAAATGTGCCTCATAATTAAAACACCAAAGTTTTGTTTACACTCAACATTTGACTGGCTGGCCAATTTCTTCATGGCTCAATCCAAGAAAAGTTCAAAGGAGCCCCAAATCAAAGGGCAGTTCAAGTCACCGAGGTCCTTACTGTGTCACCTGGTCTGAGCCCCACTGCCCACGGCCCGAGCGTCCCCCTCAGCGCATTTGGGCTCCATCCGGATGGTCACTCTGGGCGGACATGTGAATCAGATCTCTAGTCTGCTCATGGCTTGACACATCCTGAAAACTGTGGGCTCAGGCCATAGCTGCCTCTCATCTCACTATCTGGTAAGGACTTACGTACCCAGATGCAAATGTGCTCATTGTTGCCTTGATTCTTGTTTTGAAAGTCATTCTAGATCTAAAAACAGAAGTTTTTCTCTAAAAATAGTTCCCAATAAAACAAGAGCTAGAACCCCACACTCTGAGCTGATGCTTTACTGAAACTTTTACTCAATTTTCAGAGATGGAAACAGACCCTACTGGCCGTAGGTATGGCTCCAGCAGCTTGCAAGCTAGGATTTACAGAACGGTTAGGAATTTACCAGCAGCATTCCTTATACTATTACTATTACTTGCTAGTTCTGAGAAAGAACTCTGAGAAACCACTGTACATTTTAATAGCCTTTAGAATGAATAATCCATTAAGTCATTTAGCCACTCTGAATTCCTGTTTTCTTGTATGTAAAATGAGGAGAAAAATAATGCCTACCTCACAGGACAATTGTGAGGATGGAATGAGATCCTGGGGGTGGTGAGTGTTCTTTGCATTCACTGTAAGTATAAAAATACAAGTCTCTTGAATTCCCACAGCAGTTGCCATACGACTGGGTACATGGATAAACTAACTGACCAATTGAAATAAATCATTTCAATTTAGGTTCAACCTGTGGCCTTTGATTGACAGCCATCAAAATCAAGGTATGGTCAGCTGCCCAAACCTGTAACAACCGTGAAACCTGGACCAGCTACCACGGGAACCGAGATATTATTAGAAAAGCGTGGGGACGAGGGAACGGGGAAATGTGGTAGTGAAAGGGCACAGAGTTTCAGTTATGTAAGATGAATAAGTCCTAGAATTCTACTGTAGAGCACAGTGACCACAGTTAATATTATATTGTGTCTTTAAAAACTTGCTAAGGGGATAGATCTTATGTTAAGCGTTCTTATCACACCTATATACACATATACCCATAAGAAAATAATAACAACAGGGTGTAAGGAAACTTCTGGAGTTTGTATATGACACAGATTGTGGCAATGGTCTCAAAACTCATCAAGTTGTAAATATTAAATATGCACAGCTTTTTGTAGGACAATCATATCTTAATAAAGTGGTTTCTCTCAGGAAAGGGCATGTGGGCAGCTCAGTCAGTTCAGCATCTGATTCTTGATTTCTGCTCAGGTCATGATCTCAGGGTCATGAGATCGAGCCCCGAGTCAGGCTCTGTGCTCAGTGTGGAGTCTGCTTGTCCCTCTCCCTCTCCCTCTGTCTTGCCCCTGTGCGCACATGTGCACTCTCTCTCTCTCAAAAAAAATAAAAATCTTTAAAAAAATAATAAAGTGGTTTTAAAATGAATGAAAAAAGAAAATTGTGTGGAAAAAAACAACATGGCAATACCACCTAAATTATCTATGCTAAATGAGATGTCTGGTTAAAATTGTGAAAACAGGGTGAAATAGATCAGGGATTCCCAATTCTGGCTGTCCACTGGGATCACCCGACCCCCCCACAGTCACCTCAGGACTTAACTACAGCTCCCTGAGCCCGGCAAGCGAAGCACAGGCCTCCTGGCAGGCTCAGCCTGCCCAACACCGGCTGCCTGGCTGTCTGTCACCTTCAGTGACCTGAAACCCCCATCTTCAGCAGCAGCCCCTACTACGCTTGCAACTGTCTTGACACGGCGCTTCCCTCCGAACAAAAGGTATGCAGCTGCTCGTCACACAAAACAGCTAAAAGCAGAGTTGTCCAACCTCCACCTGGATTCGCCGCCAGCAGTCCCCAGAGGACCCCTCGGGCTCCATGGACCCCAGGGTGAAAGCCAGTGGCCCAGGCCACTCTGCTGGATGCCCCCACGTGGGCACAGGTGTGGAGCGAGGGGCCCTAGGGAGCCACGTCAGTACTGGCGTGCGGTGGAGCTGGCTTGTGGGCCACGTGCTCTTTGCCCTTCAGGGGTACGCCCATCCCTTAGGACCTGTGCAGCTCTTGTGCACCCTGGAGAAAGGTAACACAGAGAGGCCTGAGAAGCATTAAAGGTTCGCCACCAAACTCATCCTGCCCCTTATTTCTGGGCTTACACTTGATTGCTGCAAGTCTTCTGTTACACCCACACTACTTTAGGGTCCTGTCTCTCCCTGGCGAAATCCTTGCAACACGAAACAGGAGTGTTGGGGAAAATATGCCAGACATAAAGCTAATCAGAAAAAGGTGAGGAGGAATATTACAGATGTTATTTATTACCTACAAGGGAAAAATCAAAATGCTCATAATTTTTACATATGCCCTCCACATGACATATTTCAAATGAATCTGGCCTTACAATTTTCAGTTTACAAAGTCAGTTTCTCCAACACTTATTCATTCAGTCCATATTTGATATTTTAAAAGTCCTAATGAAAAAGGAGCTTTGATGTGGCTTGCTCAGCCTAGATAGAGTTCAAATGTTAATCATTATTGAATTGTGCATAATGAGTATTCAGAGAGTGTGTGTGCCTGGGTCAGAGGGAACTCCGACAGTGGGTTAATATCTAGCATCTGAGTGTCAATGGGGCACTGGAAACCCAAACAAAAGGAAACCAGCATTCAGTGAATCCTCAGCCCCCGAATGTCCCAGGAAGTGTAGCAATATCTATCTGAAACGTGTTGTCGAGAGAGTTTCTCATACTTTGGTTCACACTGCATCTTGAATAAATGTACTATTTTATATTGCTGATTCATTTGCGTATTAAACAAATATTTATTTTGGTGATCGATCACTCCACGTGCTAGATCCTAAGTCTTTACAATGAATAAAGTAGAGTCCAGAAGATAATAATAAAATAATGTCAGGCGCCTGGGTGGCTCAGTTGGTTGAGCGACTGCCTTCGGCTCAGGTCATGATCCTGGAGTCCCAGGATCGAGTCCCGCGTCCGGCTCCCTGCTCAGCGGGGAGTCTGCTTCTCCCTCTGACCCTCTTCCCTCTCGAGCTCTCTCTCTCTCATTCTCTCTCTCTCAAATAAATAAATAAAATCTTAAAAAAATAAAATAAAATAAGATAATGTCATTAAACACCATAAACTCTAAAACAGGGGAATAAACATTTGTGGGCTGAGTGAATAAAACGAACGAAGTGCCAGGTGATTCCAGGGGAGATACAAACTGCCTGGAAGGAGCAGGAAAGCAGTGCTCACTGAGCTAGGCTCCAAAGGACAGGCTGAACAGGACAGATAAGGTGTGACAGAGATGATCCAGGGAGGGGGGCGTGTCTGTCTCCTTGAAATTTTCTTCTCCCTCCTTTTCAGTCTCTAAATGAGGACATGCATGCAGAGCACTTAAGCACAGCGCCTGGCACAGAGAGAGTGCTCGATCAGGGCTGGTTCTTATTTCTACCGGAGACTGCTTTTTAGCCTCCTTTGCTTTTTCTTCTTTCTCTGTTCATCTCTAAAATGTTTTAGAGTTCAATTCTCAACATTCCTCTGGGTATTCTAGGCTCCAAAATCTTATCTCCTACCCAGATGGCTCTTCATTCCGTCCAGCTGCCCGTGCCTCTAACCCAGGCTGACCTGCCCAGGCCACCATGGGGCCAGAGCCCAGCCGTCTGGCCTCGCACACACATGCTGCACCTCAATCATCTTGCAATCCTGCATTTGTAGATAGGGAATTGGACATCCCTCTTCTATTTCTGGCCTTCACCATCAAAACAGCCTCAACTGCTTCAGCTTGCCCCTCCCCGCTCCACCCCTGGACAACAGTACAGGTACTCTCTCTGGCTCCACCTCCTTTCCAGGGCCCCCATGAGCCACTGTGCCTTTCTTCAGCCTGTGCCCAGGGGGAGGGGTAGAGGTGGCAGGCAGAGAAATCCTGTGTATCTGCCCATAAGAAGCTTTATAGAAAGCTCCTCTTCAGGGGCGCCTGGGTGGCTCAGTCGGTTAAGTATCTGCCTTCGGCTCAGGTCATGATCTCAGGGTCCTGGGATTGAGCCCCACATCAGGCTGCCTGCTCAGTGGGGAGAAGGCCTCTCCCTCTGCTTGCTGCTCCCCCTACTTGTACAGATTCACTCTCTCTCTCTCTCAAAAATAAAATAAATAAAATCTTTAAAAAAAAACAAAGAAAGAAAGAAAGCTCCTCCCTCATGTAGGCTACACATGGCCAAGTCCCAGAACCCCCTCCCCCCAAGCTGGGTGCCTTATCTCCACATCCTCCTGTTGTAGTGACAGTGGTAGAAACATGTGGAATGAGAAGACAAAGGGGTGGCATATGGAACCCTGGAGAGAACCAACATCTGAAAGGCAAAGCAGAGGGGAGGAGCCATGGAAAGACTGAGGAAGAGGAGTGAGACTGGAAAAATGCCTCAGGAGCCACAGGAAATATTCCATGGAGGAAATGGTTACTGTCAGAGAGAAGGAAAGTCCGAGAACGCAGGGAAAGAGCAATGGATGTGGCAAAGAGGATGCCAGAGATGGCTGTGGAGGCAGCAACTGCACTGGGCTTGCAGCACACAGTGCCCAGAACAAACATGCGCAAGGGATCCAGCAAGCTTGTAATAACACAGACAAGACAGAAGAGTGTGTCTTTTCTCTAATCATCCCCCAATTAAAGTCGTAACAGATGATCATGTCCAGTTCTGATGTCATCATGTGCCAACCACCGTCTCTATTCTGACCTGCCCCACAACAGGCAAAACAACAAGGCAGAACTATGGCTCTCCTCTGCATTCACGTGCTTGGGTCGTCTCTCCCTAAATACAAGTTTTTAAAGTAATTGGTAGAGTCCGTCAGCAAATAGCTATAAATAGGCACTGTGTATATATAAAAAAAGAGAAACTAACCAAAAATATTCCTCTTCAGCCTGTGATTAAGATGATGAGCATGAACCAGGCTGGGTCGTCTGTTTTCTGGCGGGGGATGAAAGGAGAAAGCCTCCCCCGCCCCCCCCCCCAACATGGCATCTAGTGAAATCCCAACCGCAAAGCCTCATGGTCCAAAATGCCTTGCTGAAGGCCTCTCTCTTCCTGTGTTGTACTGTTCGTATTCCAGTGCGCAGGAAAGACGTGTCTAGGCTCTGAGCACATTTTTGGATAAGGTAGAAAAAAAGTGCTAATTTAATACTTTTGGAAGGGGGGCCCTGCCCATGGAATCAGCCTGTGATGGCTGTCAGGTGGGCCTGGCCTCTCTGGGCAGGTGGGTGATGCTGCCCTTCCTGACCCCGGGAGCTCAGGCTGGGGCGGCAGTGCCAACAATTACAGCGCAGAAAGCTCAAGCCAGTTGGCACTCTTCCGAGGACAGCCCTCCACAGCCCTGCTCCTCCACAGCCCAAAGCCCTGCATGTTATACAAACCCTGTAATCACCCAAATAAGGACCACAAGGTGCTGCCTGCCAAAGGCAAAAAAGCAAACATTTGAGACAGCTCTCTCTAGCCTCCCCTCGTTCTTGGCAGCAGCCCGGTTGAAACGAAGGATGTTTTATATTTTGAGACTATCAGGGTCTCCCATGAGCCAGCACTCAGAACACAGTCTCTCTTTCCAAGGAAAACTAGAAGCGCATGTGAGAAGGTAAGCAAAGATGGGGGTCTTTG